AGGTTGAGACTATATCTAATATTGAACATGGAAATAAATAAAAGAAAAAGACAAGGAAATGAAGGGACAGTGTAGTAAACGAAATTATAAAACTGTGAAACGAAAAAGGAAATTAACTTAGTGAAGGTATTAATTTCCACAAAATAAATTACACTAGTACGGGCCATCGTGATGATTTTATTGTCGGAACGTGGTATGTTCAAAAAAAAAAAAAGAATTATACAATGTACACGCACACATACATACAAGTTTCCTTGTTAATCACATTGTTGTTTAATGAAAACACTTTAGATCCGTTCAGGAACCCGACCGATTCATCGCTTATGTCACTATTCATTATCTATCGAACATCAGCCGATAGCAATCTCTGCATAATAATAGCACAATCGCTCCGTGGAATCGGCATTAATCCTCCGCTAATTATCGACGTAAACATACAGGATTGCGGGTGTAAAAGAAGACTTGAAACGAGTTTCGACACGGTGATTGCGTTGCGCACGATGAGCGAAGCAAAATAAATTACGAGTAAAAGTACAAATAAAGCGAGATAAAAATTAATCGTGTTAGCAGCATCGCGTTTAATTCAACGCGTTAAACGCCAATGCTATTTCGCGTCTATTCTACTGTTAAGTAGAAAGAGTCAAAGATCTGTAAAGATAGCGTAAAGATGTTGTCAAAATTATTGCAACTAGATCGCGAATGTTTATGCAAATTCATACTTCCGGAGACTCGGATAAAGAGTTGATACCATCATATTATCATTGACATTTTATATATGTCAATGCATACTATCGCATTCATGGAAATTCTCTTCCAATTTCCCCACATTATCACTTGCCATTATCACGTAAACATTTACACTATAAGTTCGACATTTCGCAAGGTCTCTACGAACCGGAAGCGGTGTTGAACGCGTTAAATGTAATTCCACGGCGTCTTCAATTTTTTTTCTTCTTCCTCTCATCCTCCTTGGTTTCATCTCTCACTGGTTTCTCGTCGATTATCCTTTCACAGCGTGTGGTCCCGCTCCTGCCCAGCCTGCAAAAAAGATTCTTGTACTTGTTCTAACCATTTCTTATTGTAATTTCAGGTTCACGAGACTCACTGCCTGCGCTGCTGCTGGCGTACGCGGATGCGCCGCTCGAGGACCAGGCTCCACTTCCGGCTTGACTCGCAGCACCACTGGACGCCCAGTTCCCGCTGTTCGCTTGTCCGTAACCTGGATTTGATCCTGGAACCCAAGAATATATTCGATAGAAGACCCTCAAAATGTGAGCTGAATCGAAGATTCACTAGTTACTTCTAATTCAATTATTTATATTGTATTTTATTTTCAGTGCTCGATATTCTGTGAGAGGATTTCAGGATGGATATATTAACTTTAACTCTTTGCACTCGAGGCCCTTTTTTCTGGTATCTATCAGTAAATCAAGATGGTTCTTAGCACTCTATTGCCATGAATTCTAAGCTATCTAGATTTGAGAATAAGGTCACCTTTACCTCACCGACAATCATTTTATTGGTACGTCGAGCTCCGAAGAAATTGAACCTAAAGAAACATTAGGTAGTGTAGATTTACTGCTAATGGTGACTAAGCGTCACCTCTCCAGTGCAAAGGGTTAACTTTAATTTCTACTAAATGATTTTATTTGGGAGATAATTTTATAAAGAAACAATCGTATTTAATAAAGTCCCCAAAGACGATTGACTCTCGCAAAATCCACCGGGCGACTTCCTGTTTGTCGACGGTTCTCGACGACATTCTGTTATAAACATAAGAGCCGTATACCGCTAAAAGTATAACAATGCTTGTGTACCGCTAAAAGGATGCCGATCGGTGAATTCTTACAATTCCACAATCCTATCGCCATTTACCTCTTGAGGGCTGAATCATTTTATATTATTCGGAATAAACAAAGTGTGGAACAAAATTAGCTACAAAATTAGGAACAAAATTGCAACGGGGTACCAGTGCGTCGACGTTCGAAGAACAATTCAAGCCAATTATTTAATCACGAATGTTAAATTTAATAATTTGATTACGTTACGATTGTTTGAGGCGCTTTGTGAGCGCCTTTTATGATTTACGTCATTATTAGACTGCGGATCTTTATGCAAAATAAAATCTTCGCGAACGTGCCTACAAAAATTGAACCTGAGTAGGAATTTATTTTACTCTGCAAATATTATAACATGAACTTTACTTTCAGTCTTGTTTACATTCTTGCATATTGTTTGCATTTTGTAGTTTCTTGCACATTCGAATTTCTTATAAATCCATAAAGATCCGCAGTCTAGTCATTATTAATTATTTATTTATAGTGGCTAGAATATCCAAACTGAGTGATAACGCCCATGTCCAATCAAGAGTGATATGGCGTCGTAGGGTTATGGGGTTACGTAACCGCTGCGCGCGTTAAGAGTGCGGAAGCTTCTCGATGGAACCGACGATTGCCATTAATTAACAGCGCCCCTGTCTCTGACTTATGCTTTATTGTGAGAAAGGCTCGTAATCAATCAACAACCGCACGGATCTTCTCCGTTCGACAGCGAACCTTGAAACCCGCGTTCCCATCGCGTGGGAATCAACATTCATTTCAATCATGCTATATCTCGATCTAAGGTCTCCGTCCTTTAACCTTTCGCGATCCGGACGCGTATGTTCCGTTCCACATCTGGACGATGCGTGCAAAAATTCATATTTCGAATATACAATAACCTGAATTCTAAATACAACATTCTATATTATTTGAATCTACACGAATTTATGCATTCATGCCGTACAATAATATACGAAAACATACATAAAATATACATGATGCGTGTTGAGTAGAATTCTACAATTATTGTAATAATATTGGTATTACATTTTGTACAAGTGCACATGCATATAATAATATAAAAAACATATATGAAGTATATGTAATGCATGTTGAATAGAATTCTACAATCATTATTATAATATTGGTATTTCATTTTGTACAAGTGCACATGTATATAATAATGTAAAAAAAAAAATGTATAAAGTATATATAATGCATGTTGAATAGAATTCTACAATTATTGTAATAATATTGGTATTTCATTTTGTACAAGTGCACATGCATATAATAATATAGAAAAGATATATAAAATATACATGATGCATATTGAATAGAATTCTACAATTATTATTATAATATTGTTATTTCATTTTGTACAAGTGCACATATCTTTTGGTTATGTTTAGCGTGTATTTACTGAACAAGTTCGCATCATGAATGCACAAATTCGCAGTCTAGTGATAACGAAGTTTCAAGAACTCCATAAATTCAACATACCTCCGTAGGTAGCAGCATTCGAGTCAGCAAAGCTGGACGCATGAGCACCGCTGAAGGCTCCAGAAATCGCACCACCAAAGCCACCACCATCCAAAAGTCCATCGAAGCCAACTCCAACGCCTCCTCCGCTTCCGGAGCCACGGTGAGTTCCTGACGGGTGTTTCGCGCCATTAGGACTTCCGTTATCCGATCCAGGGCCCGATCCAGATCCAGGGTATTGAGAATTGCTTCCCGGACCCGAACCCGAGCCAGGATAGTGGCTGCTAGCTCCGGAAGAACTTGCTGCACCGCCGAAGAAAGGATTTGTATTTGGTTGCTGAATCGATCCTCCGTCAAATGGCGAAGTAACTTTATTGGGACCGTATGGATGTTGATCCTGGCCTCCTGGACCTTCAGGACCCGAGCCATCTGTCCCGCCAATTCCTGATCCTGGCCCTGAACCTCCTCCAAAGAAGGGATTGTCTTTGTTCGTAGGGTTCGTTACTCCTCCTCCAAGTGGAGAGTTTCCACTTTGAGGGAAGTGACTTCCGGGACTAGTGTTGCTCCATGCTCCAGCTCCAGTCGCTACGCCAATTTTTCCGGGACCTCCCCCGAAGAATGGGTTCCCAAGACCTATTGGCTTGCTGGTGGTTGTTGCGAACGAGCCACCTGGACGATTGGAGAAATTTCACATCTAAATTCTAGATGAAGGTTTACATAAAATTCTATTTTTTACCTATTCTCTATTCTGCTTTCCATCTATTTTAACAACTTATTTTCTCAAACTTTGTTATATAAAGATAGGTAATAGGTAGGTTCTTTAAATTGTAAACTTTGCATAAAGTGGTTCGTCCCTTTGGTTGACATTATTTGTTATTAGACAAAGCGTTTGTTATACACTTTAAGTGTGGATTATCTCGATGAATTTATTGACATTATTCTCATCTGTTATCTTCATAGGGTATGCTCAACTTAGGTTAACTGAGCGTCTTTCTATAATTACCGCTGGTAGGAGGAGACACTTTTCCAGTCAAAAACGGATTCCATTCGTACGTTCCAGTACCTCCGGGAATTTTATTCGCGGTATCAGGTTTGCCATAGGATGTTGGACCGACACCAGGTGGACAACTACCGTAAGTGCAACCAGGTCCACTACTTCCAGGTTTGTTATTTCCAGGTCCAGCGCCTCCAGGGAAGGCTCCTTGGGGAGATTGCGAGAGATCGTTAGGTACACCACCTTCTGGTCCAGAGATCTTGTTGACGTTGGGAGCGCCTTGTTGATCGCAGGGCGATGATCCACCTTGACTACATCCGGCTCCACAACTCTGGCCACATCCACTTTCGCAATTCTGACTACATCCGCCTCCGCAACTCTGTCCATCGCCTGCTGGGTTAATGCATTTTTAGGATGTTAGGTCAAGACACAAGCCAAGCAAGCAACGGACCTAGATACGAGCGCTATTGTTTAGGGAACGCAAGAATTTGAAAGTGGGGCTGTTTCTAGTGCTAAAGAACAAAGCTTCTGTTCGTGGAGAACTTGGCTACGAAGCGGGAAAGTTAAAAATATCCTCTATTAAATTATTACTAGACTGCGGATCTTTATGCATTTATAAGAAGTTTGAATGTGCAAGGAACTACAAAATGCAAATAATATGCAAGAATATAAACAAAACTGAAAGTAAAGTTCATGTTATAATATTTGTAAAGTAAAATAAATTGCTACTTAGGTTCAATTTTTGTAGGCACGCTCGCGAAGATATTAGTTTGCGTAAAGATCCGCAGTCTAACTATTACACTTATTCTTCAAATTTAGTTCTCCAGGTAACCAAAGTTTTAACACACCTCCGCAATCGCTTGGACCACTGCCAGGATTCGAGCCTGACGGGCTCTGACTTCCTGGGCTTCCTGTTCCAGGACTGGGCCACCCAGTACTGCTCCCAGGAGTCCCTCCGTGAGGTCCAGTTGGATATGGAGACTTCGTAGTTCCAGGTCCGGTATGAGAACCTGACTGATAACCAGGCTGAGTAGGTCCAGAAGGACCTGGGCCGTAAGAAGACTTCGTGGGTCCTGCATTTCCATGAGGACCTGGCTGATAGCCTGGTTGACTAGTTCCAGGTCCACTAGAAGGACCTGAACC